CCAAATATAACAAGTTTAACTTTCCTAGTAGTCACAGTAAAGAGTTAGAAGAAGTGGGTGGGCTACTATTAACATTTTACTTAACCCCCCCGTATCCAGAATATTATCACTTTAACATGTAATCAATATGAAAAAGTCAATGAACTATTACACATCCTTTCATAAATTTATTTTTCAAATTCCAATGTGAGTTTTACATGTACAGGGCACATTTCCAGTGTGAAGGAACTCCTTGCGACTAGTGGCTGCCATGTTGGACAGCCCAGTAGAGCCCTGTCCTCTAGCTCAACCTAACATTCCAGACACATGTGCATTTCACGGGGTCTTCAGTAAAGGAGATGGTGAGACTGGCATTTGAAGATTTCTTGCTATAATAATGCTGCTTAAATTTGCTGCCATCTGCATGGCCGAGTGACACATTGAGGAGGACCCAGGGTAGATGTTTGGCGCAGGGCTGAAGTCACTGCCTGGGATGCATCCCATATTGCAATATGACTTTCAAGTGTGCCTCTTCTGCTTGCAGTCCAGCTTCATGCTAACACATATCCTGGGAGGTAGCAGATAACAGCTCAAGGACTTGAATCCCTGCCACCCACATGGGAGACTGGGAAGGAGTTCCAGGTTCTGGGCTTCAGCCTGGCCCAACCCTTGCTGTGGTGGACATTTGGGAAAGAAACCCATAAATGGGAAATCTCCCTCTGTCTTCTAGTCTTTCTACCTTTCAAATGACATGGAAATAAATAAAAAGTAAGAAGAAAAGAGGGCTAAAGCTGCATTTTAATTGGCCAGAGGAACCTGGCCACAATACAATGGAGAAGCCCATCCCCCTCACTCCCAACTATAAGGGGCTTTCATCTGCACCCACTACCCACACACCTAGGGGCCTAGACTCTCAGTCAGCATACCTGCCAGAGGATGCTTCTGAAGTGTGAAGAGAAAGTGCCTCACATCAATTGCTTGCGTGGTTGTTGACCACAGGAGTCAAGGGTGACAGCAAGGCTTGGGGGAGGATTTTCAAGAGAGAGGGAATGTCCCTTGGCACCTGTTCCCAGAGTGAGCTCCTGGCGTCAAGCAAGCAACCCCTGGGTTCTTGGGGACTTTCCTCCTGATCTGAGAGGAGTCACAGAGGACTTCAGGCAGGTCATTCCACTCTCATGGCCCTCTGTGCTGGAACGTGGCCACCCAAACCACCAGCAGCACACACCATTAGCAAATGTCTCAAACCCAGCGACAACTGGTAAAACGAGTCGCGGTGCCACCAGGCCCCTCCCAGCGGCTATGCTTTGCCTTGACGCTTTTTCTCTGAGAGAAAGAAGTTGCCCTGTTGGAGCCATCCTGTGTGGTTGGCCGGCCACAGCCTCCTGGTAGGCCCAGCCTGGGCCCTTCCTCAGTACCAACCAGGCTGGCAGGCCGCATCTTCCCTCTCCTGCTCGGCAGAGCAGTCACAGAACCCTGTGATACAGCTGCGGGCTACACCCCACCTCCTCCAGCTTTTCTGTGGTCTCCTCCTTTGTGACTGCTACAGCATATGTTTTATTAAAAGAGAAAGAGAAGGGGAGACAAGAGGTTATGTACATGGGCGTGCTCAGGAATCTTAAGATTGAAAATATCCTGCTCAATGCTAAATGCCTAAGGGCTTTGGCATTTTGCCGGCTCCAAGAAAACCCCAAGAGGAACATTTGGGTGGGGAAATAGGAAAAGGAAGAAAATCAAAGCCTTCTCAGGAGATTCTGATTCTAAACTATGAGAAAAATTTTTCAAGTTCATGAAATTTGCCTGCTTTCTCCCAATATCATTCGAATTTTGGATTTGATGTTGATAAGCTCTCTGACCTTGAGCAACATTTTCCCCATAATGTATGGATGAGACTTGAGGGTGGGTAGAAGGCCAGGTGATTTTTCGATGCCAAATGAGATACCCAACATACCACAGTCCTCGGCCTGAGTGCTAGGGTAACTTCCTCTAGGCCAATATATATTTTAACAAATTATAGCAGATGGGTAGTATTTCCAAGGTGCAAGGGGAGAGGTGGCCCAGCGTAAACCCCAAGGAATCCTGCAAGCCCTGAAGTTTCCGGCATTCTCAGCTGTGTTGCAGTTGGCACCTCTGTCAGCTGGAACCCGTTCCCCCTCTCCCCTTTTCCAAATAAATCCCATCGCAGCCCTCCTGGCTCCACAACTTCCCTTCCTCCTTTGGAAAACTGGCAGTCCTCGTTCTCCACAATCAATGGCAGGTGCATTAGGTCAGCCTGATGCCTTCTCTTGGCATTTACCTTTTCCCAGGTGCAGGCCTCCTCTCCTAATTCAATTGGAAGATCATTGAGGGTTAAGCCAGGACTTGTAGGACTCCTATTCCACAGCCCCTGGGTGTGCCAGAGTAGCAGCCCGTGTCACTGCAACCACTTGTGCTTGTTAAGTAGAGAACAGCTGAATCAGATCACAATTACTCAGATTAAGCCATGCCTTAGAAGCATCTGGGGTTGGGGTAGGAGCAGAGAGACCCAGAACTCTTTCATAGCTCCCCAGTCCTGCTGTGTACCCAGCATAAACCTCCTCCTCGTTCTAAGGTTCTCTGCTCTCCCTGTTTCCAAGGAGTCAAAAATCACCCTAGCTCTACTTCTTAGGGTAATCAAAGATAACCGAGACAATAAGCTGTATGAGGATTAATTAGATGAGCTCTGAAAAATGCTCCCAGCTTTTTGGGAAAAGGATGCCACTGTAAAACGTATCAAGGTCTTCTTATTTAATGGAAAGAGTTGAATCAACAAAATTGCACAGCACAGTGGAGGAAGCAAAACTCTAACCAAGAAACCTCAACAGGAAACCTCCGAGTCAGCAGAAAGTGCCCATGCACCTGTCTCAAGTCCCTCCACATGACCTCTCTCCTTTGGGAGCTGGGGAGGGGTTTGGGAGCCGCATCGCCTAGGGCATCTTTCTGCAGAAAGCTCCCCAGGGGCGGGCCTGTGCTGATGCCAAATGAGACACCCAACATGCCACAGGCCTCGGAGCAGCTGCTGATGCAGGGGTGTTGTTTGCACCGCGGCCTTGCTCAGTAAACAACCTGTCGGAAGGAACACCCAGAACCTGATCCTGAGAGCTGGACAGAGACGGTGCTCTCCAACCTCGAGAGCAGCCCAGTGCTGTCCAAGCAGGAGCCTTCCCTGCTCCCACACTGCCCCTTATGTCCTGTCTTGTGCCCACACTGCAGCCCACATCCCTCCGTTCTGGGAGACAAAGCCAGCTCCGTTTTTGGTAAGGAGAAGACAGCAAGAGTCAAGAACAAATCTGTCTTTTCCACGGCTGCAGCCCAGCTGCCCAACCCTTCGGAGCCAGCTGCCCCTGTTTCAGGCAAGATGACGATCTGACCTGTGCTTTTCTGCCTTACCACAGCACAGCAGAGCACAGCACAGCACCCATCCTATCCCTCTTCAAGGGGGCAAAGCATTCATTTCTTGCCAGAGTAAGCAGGTGCTATGGTATGGATAAGCCAGGATCTTAGGGGCACCATTGCTTGGTCATGGCCTCAACGATGCCAAGCAACTTATTCTGAGTGGCAAGTCCAGAGGGCCATGCTTTAAACGAATAGCATGCACTCGACTGTGTGAAGTCGAGAGGGGAAAACACACAAACTCTCGCATCACTTTGCTGTGGCCTGATGTCATCAGACTGCCCCCCAGGGGATTTGGTAAAATACTTTAGCTGCTTGGTTAATACTGGCATTGCATGTATTCTGGAGAGCATGGAGAGCGCGTGCGTGCGACCAGTAGAGCCACTTCCACATGTACATGTCTGGAGGAAGACAGAGGCAGAAATCCATGACTTACAATATAGCCTTCATCTTTCCGATTGGTCTATGCTCACATATCACTGTCCCTGCTGGCTTAGGCTCTGATGACCCAGCTACAAGCACGGCCTTTCAGAATTGTTATTCTTTTAACAAAACATTTGTTCCTACTCATGGCACCCTGCTCCCTGGGCTGGGAAGAGCACACACACAGTTCTTTACCGAGGGTCTGTTCAACCACGTTGCAGTGCCCTAGCTTGATTATTCGTTAATGTTTGGCTTAGGTCTATATACCTTGGATAAATACACACCATGCCGAGGGGCTGCTTGGTGAGGAGCAAACTCCTAGGGGCTTAGAACAGCAGCTCACAAGTTCATGCTCCGACTGGGCAGGGCCACTCCAGGCATCCGTGGCCTGGGCAGAGTGCTACACAAGCTTGCTTCTTCTGTAGGCGGCCTGCTCTCTGCATACAGCTGTGAGCAGAGCAGACACACACACACACGCCACCAGCAGCATTCGCCTGTGGACCCAGATGATCAGACACCGGGAGAGCGATGTGCCAGATGATACCGGTCCACCCTTCCTGCCGGCAAGGCAATGTTATCCTCTAACGCCCAGTGCTCTGCCGGCCCCAACTCAACTGATGGGGCTTCTGCCACCACCCTGGGGAGACTGTTTGCACCCTCCAGGGCTTACTCTTTGCAATTCTTTCCTTGCTGCATGGGCACGAGGGAAAGGAACTGTTCTCCAAAGACAGGGCTCTCTGAATCTGTGAATATAAACGCACCCCCTATGACAACCGCAATTCTTCAGGGGTCTTTCCCAAATCTAGTGAACCTTGTGCAGTTCTGCCCAGCAGCCGCTCGACAGGCAAAATCCCATGTCATCCTGTGCAATTAGGCAGCGCAGTTGGGTTTCTGCAAGCTAATGGGAGTTGTGCTAACTTTGAAGACTTAAACCAAGCGAAAGCAATATAGGTCAGGCAGAGCGCCCAAGCCCGGTGACAGCCGTGCAACACCGGGAGGCAATACCGGAGCGATCCGGGGCTCAAGCCCGAAGTCCACTACTCAGCTCCACAAGACAGAAACTAAGCGAGGCAGAATGGGCATCAGGAACCAGGGCTGAGCGCTGACAAAACGACCCTCCCCGCCAGTGGACACAGCAAAGGACAACGAAACAGGGAGAGAGGCAAATCGCCCCAAGCCGGCAGTGTTACCTTGAATCCGTGCGCGAGCCCTGCTTGCTGTATCAGCCGCTCCCCAAACCTCCAACGGCTGGGAGGAGACTCGTCAAAGATTCCAGATCTGTGTGCAACATCTCCAGTGGCAGCTCTCCAAAGTTTTTACTTCATGATTTCTTATGGCTCTTTCTCGTTTGCGGAAACGCCAATGCCTCCCCCTCAGCGAGTGAGAGGGAACGGATGTCTCTTTTCAAATTCGCCTGCTCCCCGCTTTGCTGTCGCCGCCGCCGCCGCCGCCGCCAGACCACTTGCCTGCTGCTTCCCCGCCAAGCAGCACGGATCCCAGCCGCCCCGAGCGCCTCGGAAGCGGGGCTTCGGCGCCGGACCCGGGCGCACGCAGGGTGGGAGACGGTAGCGAAGTGCACAGCCCAGCTGCGGGAGCCCGCTGACCCTCCGCCCGCCGAGGAGGCACCCGGGGTCTCGCCGTCTGCCCAACTCGGGGGAGACTCAGCCACACTCTGTCGCGCCCCGCGACATCGCCTGGCGCGCGGGCAGAGGCGGTCCCCGAGGCGTCAGCGCTCCCGGGGCTGCCGGCCGACCTGCCCGTGGCCTCGGAGCGCGCCGCAGGTGCACGTCCTCTGGCGAGTCTCGTCTGGAGCTCCGGGCTCAGCGGAGCGCAGCTGGGGGAGCCGCGCGCAGCGCTCCAGGCGGCCGGGTCCCAGCGCAGGGCTGCAGCCGGCGCGGCCCGGCTCCGCACCTCCGCGGCGTCACCTGCAGACTCCGGCACCAGCTGAGTGTCTTAAGATAACAATGCTGCCCGGCCTGCCTCGCTCTTTCAGGCTGAGGCACGTAGGTTGTCAGCCAATGGGACCCAGCGCCACGCACCCCGCGCGTGCCCATTGGCCGGGCCGCCAGGCAGGGGGCGGGCTCTGCGCCTCGCCGGCTGCCCCTTTGGTAGACTGGTGGGGAGGGGGCGGCCGCGTTGACCCTCCCAGTTTTGCAGCAGGCACTTCTTGGTGGGCGCGAGGAAGTCCTGGGTAGACCCAGAGCTGAGGAGTTGGAGAGTCTGAGAAGGCCGAGCAACAAGAAGTGGTTGGAGAGCTAATTACATTTTTTCTCATCTTCCTGAATTACAATAATTTGTCCCAGCCCGTTTTTTTTGCTCGCTTAAGTAGAACTCCCAGAGATGGGCACCCATTTGAGCCATTTTCCTTCTAATTTGAGGTTCCATTTGGCTGTGCTGCGCCTTTTAGCCTCTTGAATTACTTAATTAGAAATGGGCCCCCAAGTGAGAAATAGTGTAACACACACACACTCACTCACTCTCAGACATACAGGGGCGAAGGAGGCAGGACTGAGCAAGGGGACTAGAGAAGTCAGAGGGGTTCAGAGGCACTGGCCAGCTGCATCAGGACGCGTTGTGCCCCCACGCCCAGGCTGTGCAGACAAGGGCAGATAAGAGTGCCAGGATTTCAGGGAGAGATTTGGGGGGGGGGGTGTCCTGCTTCCAAAGGCGGGAATGGTTTGGAATGGTTTGGCCGCGATATTTTCCTTCATCTCGTTTCACTTCTGTGTGTGTCGGGAACGGGCACCGTGCGTCTCCGTTTGGTTTTAAAGGAAGACCAGAGAAACCAGAACAGGACCAGCCTTGTTTATGGGAAGCAGGTGCTGTTGCTGGGCCTGTGAATTGAGAAAGAAGGAGGGAGGGAAGGAGGGTGGGAGGGAGAGGGGGAGGAGGGCAGGAGACAGAGACTGGAGGAGGGAGAGGGAGAGAGAGAGAAAGGGAAACTTTGAATTGAAGGTGAATTCCATGTGTTTGATGACCTACTGGAGATGCAAAAGCAAAATACATCTGGCTAACCGGCATACTACACTGAGTTTTGGCAAGAGAACGGGAGAGACATAGTTAAAGAACAATTCGGTTCAATAGAGGACCTGGGGTTTGGGGCTGGGAAAGAACTTGGGGAATCCACACCAAGTCATGGGGTTGGGGGAGTGTATGAAGAGGAACACACACAGTCAGAAACATCAGAGATTATTTTATTAAAAAAAAAAAAACCACAGATGTGGGGCCCCATGGGCTGGCCAGCCATGGGGTCCCCATGTCAGGGTTTGGTCTGATAGCTGTCGTGTCTTTATTGCAAGGCGGATGTTGCTATTTTCGGTTAGGGCAATGCTTTCCAGCGGCCAGGACTTTCCAGAGAAGTTGAGCCTGCCTCGTAAACAACAAGATGGCGCTGAGGACTGTGCAGTGAGCCTGCCTGCTGCGTGACACCTCATCTGATTGGCCCGAGGACGCGTGCACACCGCGTGAACAAGCAGCGGATTGGAGTGTTCGGTGCATGGACTAGAGCCCGCTTGCGATTGGTTGAATTTCGTATATAAGCTGTGTGCCCAGGAAGGAGGGGGCTTTTTTCTCTCTCCTCTCTTCCTCCTTTCATGCTTTCTCTGTCGCTGTTATTTTCTCAATAAAAGTCTACAGAAGACCAATCAGCTGCGAGTATCGTCGTTCCTTTGCGGGCAAGGAAACAGCACACAGATTAAAAAAGTGCAGAGGTTTAATGAACCCCAAGTAGCATACACCTAGATTAGCTAAAAAAAAAAAAAGCATAAAGCAGCCGGATACTCTGAATGAGGAGAAATGAAACACAGCTTCTCACATCACAGTGGCCTTTGTGGTGCCCTGAGTTAAGCCTGAGGCCGCCAGCATCCCATATCCAAGGGCTGGTTCCAGTCCCTGCTACTCCGCTTCTTACCTAGCTTCCTGCTGAAGCTGTTGGGAAGGCAACAGATGACGGCTCAGGCACTTGGGTCTCTTCCGCCTACAAGTGAGATCTGGGTGGAGTTCCTGGCTCTCAGCCTTGGCCTGGCCCAGACCTGTGTGTTGTAGGCATTTACGGGAGTGAACTCTGTCTCTCCCTCCCTCTTTGTTACCCTGCCTTCCAACTAAGTAAATAAATCATTTTGTTGAAGATTTATTCATCTACCTGAAAGCCAGAGCCACACAGAGAAGGAAAGACAAAGAGAAAGAAAGGTCCTCCATCTGCTGACCCACTCCCCAACTGGCCGCAATGGCCAGAGCTGTGCCGACCAGGAGCCAGGAGCTTCCCCAGAGGTCTTCCCATGTGGGCACAGGGGCCCAAGGACTTCGGCCATCCTGCACTGCCTTCCCAGGCCACAGCAGAGAGCCAGATCGGAAGTGGAGCTGCCAGGACCCGAACCGGCACCCATATGGGATGCCAGCATTGCCACACCACAGCACTGGCCCCAATATTTCAAAAATTCTTATCTCAGGTACCCACCCTTGAGTCACCCTTATCTGTTTTCCCTCCTAGTATCTCATACAAGTTAGATCTTCCTTCACTATACTTCAGGTATCAGTTTGCCTAAGCTACAAAATATGCCAGGGAAGAGTGGTTTCCTAGGGGCTCCAGCTCTCCGAAAGTGTCTTAGTGAACTGATGAAATCCTGACCTACTGCTGCTGCTCAACTACTGAGTATTTACCCCCAGGATTCTGTCTGGAGACAGAGACCCACTGCACTTGCCCCAGGCTGCTGAGGTTCCTGGAAAAGAGTGTACGGGAATGGGAAAGGAGGAAGCAGCTGAGCGCATGAGTCCTAGTTTCAGTGGGAAGAAAGCAAGCATCCCCAGACATCTGCAGACAGGAGGAAGGGGATGTAGGGAAACATGAAGGCACCTTGAAAAAAGGAAAACTTACTGTGTGCTCTTCTCCTTCAGAGCCCTAAGCCATGAAAAAACAAACTGAGGCCAAATATACATTAAAGGTGTCCGCAGAGGGCCGAGGCGCAGTGGGTTAATCCTCCACCTGTGGTGCCGGCATCCCACATAGGCACAGGTTCCAGTCTCGACTGCTCCTCTTCCAATCCAGCTCTCTGCCGTGGCCTGGGATAGCAGTGGAAGATGGCCTGGGCGCTTGGGCCCCTGTAGCCATGTGGGAGACCTGGAAGAAGCTCCTGGCTTCAGATTGGCCCAGCTTTGGCTGTGGCAGCCATTTGGGGAGTGAACCAGCAGATGGAAGATATCTCTCTCTGTCTCTGCCTCTCACTGTCCGTAACTCTACATCTCAAATAAATAAATAAAACCTTCAAAAAATTCCACAAGCATACAGTTGGATAAATTTTCACCCGTATCTGCATCAATATAACTACTACCCACACCATTGCCAGCACCCTAGAAGCACTTTCTGTCTGTTGCTAAGTCAAAACGCTCCACTCTTCCCCCAAGAGTTACCTGTTGTTCTGACTTGCATTACCAAAGATCATTGTCATCTGCTCTTAAACTTTATAATTTAGGATCTTTCTTTCTTTCTTTCTTTCTTTCTTTCTTTCTTTCTTTCTTTCTTTCTTTCTTTCTTTCTTTCTTTCTTTCTTTCTTTCTTTCTTTCTTTCACAGAGTGGACAGTGAGAGAGAGAGACAGAGAGAAAGGTCTTCCTTTCCTGTTGGTTCACCCTCCGATGGCCGTGGCGGCCGGCGCATCGCGCTGATCAGATGGCAGGAGCCAGGTGCTTCTCCTGGTTTCCCATGTGGGTGCAGGGCCCAAGGACCTGGGCCATCCTCCACTGCACTCCCTGGCCATAATTTAGGATCTTATCAAGAATACACTCTGTGTTAGTCTTATTTCTTTCATTCATTGTGATGCCTATGAGAGTTAGCCATCTAGTTGCGTTTTCCATTGCAGTGCAGTATGTATTCACCTGGCCATCTGACATTTATCTGTCCTCCTTTCAATGGATATTTGGGCGACTTCTACGGTGTTGTCTATTTTGAATGAAATTGCTGTAAATGTTCTTGTGCTTATCTTTTGGTGGACATATGAAATCATTTCTTCTAGGTAAATATCAAGGAGCATAAATAACCTAATTTTCTTTTGACTGTAATACTGGAGAGAATCGTGTGAAAAAATTCTTGGGAGCATCAACCTGGCACAACACATTAAGCTGCTTGCAGCTCCAGCACCCCGTGTCGGTTTGAGCCTGGCTGCTCCACTTCTGACTCAGCTTCCTGCTGATGTACCGGGGAATGTGGTGGAGGATGACACAAGTACTTGGGCCCCTGACACCCATGTGGGAGACCAGATGGGGTTCCTGGGTTCCTGACTCCTAGCTTTGGCTTGACCCAGTACCAGTTATTATAGCCATTTAGAGAGTGAACCAATAGATGGGAGATACCTTTCTCTTTCTCTCTCTCTCTCTATCTCTTTCTCTCTCTCTCCCCCCCACTTTGCCTTTCAAATAAATAAATTAATAAGTAAGTAAATCTTTTTTGTTAAAAAAATACCTCTGAAGCATAATTTCCCTCTGAAATACTTGAATGTATCTCATTGAGCAGCAATGAGATGCCTAACCCATGCCAGAACCCTTATATGCATGGTCCTACTATTTCCCCCTCATAACCGCCTTAAAATTATGTGTTATTTTTTCTATTTTGGCAGTCATAATGTTGAGTGCAATACATATTATGGAATGGCCCTTGCCTTCTGGGTGGGTGTGTGTGAGAAAGACACTAAGTGCTCTGTGGGTAGAGTTACTACACTTGATCTTGGCCAAAAGGCCAGAAGCGATATTGTGAGTAGAGTTACGAGCAATGGAAGTGATGGTGGTACTCAATGCACAGCTGAAGCTGGAGATGGGCTGAAGAAATGGGTGAATGAAAATTGAGGAGTGTTGCATTTTAGGTGAACAGAAGGAGTGAAAATAGGAAACAGATTTTAATTTGGGGTGTGGGTGTGGGGTATAGAAGATGAAGTGCAGTGAGCCATCAGTCTAGGAGAATAAATTGTATA